TTTGGAACACGAAGGGTAACCTCAGTGACTTGATCATGTTTGCGCATAATATGAGAGACCCTCTCCCCACAAAATTGAGTCGCCCATTTCAAGGGTGATGGCTTGATGAAGACACCGAAAAGTGCAGCATCATCTTCAAAACCTAAAGCTCGGTCGATAATGATGTAAGCTGTGACTCGTTGGATACATGGGCAAACATAGGGTCTTTGCACATGCGCTCGAATTTTTTGAAGTATCTTGGCCTTGGTTGGCTGAGAGACAGTACTCCATGATGCGCGTGCTGGTGTTGTGGTGGGCATAGGGAACATACCACCAAAGTGGATAACTGATTGTGGACCCCATATGTCCATGTGAGCGAGGAGGAATGTTCGAATTTGTGTGGCGAATGTGACGACATCCTGACTTGGCGCGTGTCTCGTCCATGTACTCAGAGCCTCTTCGAAAAGGAGGTTCTTGATTCTTGAGTTCGGCATCACTGCGATGCGTTGCAATAACAAAGTGGTATCATGGGTTATTGGGACCTGACAAAGTTCCTGAAAGGAGTGCATTAGAATCCACCCACAAAGATGCTGATGTGACTGCGTGGCAGTGGCTTGGACATGAATCCGATCTGGAGACGTCTCTAATAGCGCTGCAACAGCTCGAAAGAGTGGTGCTAATTGAGGATTTTGTGGGTCAGGCACAGCGGCCGTGAGCATCCATCGGTGTTGATGCTTAAGGCCGGCAATAGATATCCAGTGATAGTTAAAGGTAATGAAAAACTGGACTTTTGTGTAACCTGCCACACTGGGTAAATCAGCTGACAAGATTCAAGGCTTTCCTTAGTTGTGTCGAAATGCAGGGGACATGGCAGGTATCGATCGAGAACCTGTAAGCGGAGTGTCCGAAGGACAAGTTCAACTTCGAAGTTAGTCATCCATGCTGGCTGTATAAGCATGGTTCGGAGATAGTTGATCTCTCTTTCTCGGTTTGTTGGTGGTCGTGGAACTTGACAAACTTCCTGGACGTAGTCGTCTTCTGGGCCCACGAACATCACGGTATCTACTCCTTGTGGCAAGCGAGAGTCCGGCTGGTTAGCTGCATATTCTGACAGGAAAGCACTACGGCACTCACTAGCAAAATGGATGATATCTGGAGTGGCGTTCGTACGGTTCCAATGTTGCTGAGATCTTAGGATCACACGGTCAAATTGTGCTTGGTACTGATCGGTGACATGGATCATTGGCTGAAGACAGGTGCTCAAAGCAAAATTGTTGTACCAACGGAATAGGATTGTCCACCCACACATGGTCAAAACTTCATTATTGGAGTCAAAAGTAACCAGCATCTGATGTGGTGGTATTTGCAAAATACGTGACAGTTCCAGCACAATCGTGGTATGATGTTCTGTCGGCCATTGGATGATCACTACGTGAACTGGAGTAGTGCGGCGGTCAACTTCAACTGCACACCAATGAGCTTCAAGCAGAAATAATAGGAGGTTCAGCCGCTGGTTGGTAAATTGCAATTGATCTTGTGCCGCCATTAAATGTTGTAGGTCTCGACTGGGGCTCCACTGGATGATAGGCCCAATTTGAATATCTGTTCTCCAGTCTTGCAATTTTCGCAGAAACCATAACGCTTCATCAGAGGCCAACCACCCATTATCTTGTAGCGCTGCGGCGCAGCGTTCTGCGAAAGGTGGGTTAGGAGTCATGTGGATGATTTGACAGCGGCCCCAGGCCGGGTGACCTCCTGTATAGATCGCCCGACTCCAGCCTCGAAACATCGAAAAGCCTGCCATCAAATTGTATGCGTCGTTTGCTCCAGACAAATCACTGCTAGGACTGGCTAATGTGAGTAGAGAAGTGTGCCTTGAACAAAAAGGAGAGTCTTGATGCAAGTGGAGTTGGAAGTATAGGTCATCTGTGAATGGCATCTCATCGATGTTCCGATGATCTGACTGCAGCGGCTGTCCAAAAACACCCCTTGAGGGTGTACCAGGATAAACCTCCAGCTGTCGGATGTCATGTAGGACCTTCCAAAATGTCACGGCATTGGAGACGACTTGGATTGATGGATCATCTTGTAGCAGAGAGTTTCGAATGGAAGTCTGTCTTCCACTATCCTGGATCAAAAACCAATCGTGATTGTAGACCTTGCTGAGGTCGTAGATGGGTACAGTCCCACTGGATGTGGTACTCGGTGGTGGAAGCTGAATATCAAACATCAAATTTGTATACTGAACAAAATTGCCGACAGCAAGAGAATGTCGGGTACACGGCTGGAGATCTTCACGTAATGTAGAGACCGTGTGAGAAGGCCACGTAAAGGCAGAATTGATTTGATGTTTGTATATCATAGAAAAGTCCAGAGAGAAGGACAACGAATCGTGGTTGGAAACGGGTACAGCCCCAAGAGATATAGTATCTTCTTGTGGTGGACCTGGATGATCGGAATCAAGAAAGAACTGATCCAAGACTTGAGCTGAAGCGTTCTGCAACGAAAAGTCTCGAAAAGAGGTCTGTTCACCAAAAACTGGAAATGAGCATCGAGCATGGTCTGAAATCTTGCTGAGGTTGTAAATGGGTACAGTCCCACTGAAGGTAGTACTTGGCTGTGGAAGCTGAACTTCTGCCATCGAAGTTGTCAAAAGGGTGAGAGCATGTACAGTAGGGACAAGTAGTGTGCACGGCCGTCGATCTTCGCACAAAATAGGATCCATGTGAAGAGGCCACGTATGGGCAGGAATGACTTGCTGCGTGTCAGTCTTGAATATATCGGGGGAGTCGGTCAATAAATCGTTGTTGGAAACGGGTACAGCCCCACGAGATATAGTATCAATTTGTTGTGGACACGGAGTATCTGGCACAAGACTGACAGGATCCAAAACTTGGGCCTGCAGACCGTATACTGTTGTTGACATAGCTTCGTGCAAGCTGATATCAGAAATAACATCCCAGTCATGGACCGTTCGGCCGCTGACGTATGTAGGAAAAAGCTCTCTTGGCATGGGGTCTCGGAGAGACACTGGGCTCACGAAGTCACCAAAAATACGTTGATCGTAGTCGTTGAGCTCGCTGTAGTTGCAGAAGGGTGTAGCCCCACTGGATATAGTCTGATGCTGTGGATACTGAATAGTTACCATCGGGTCCACGAGGAGAGAGTCATTTTCGATATTGATGGGACACTGTTGGCACGATCTTGAGTCCTCAAAAACAGTTGAGACCATGTCATAGGGCCACAATAGGGCAGCATTTGTTGAGCTTGTAAAATGCGCGTTGAGAGGTAGAACTTGGATCGGTACTTCGTTGTCGGAAATGGGTGCAGCTCCACCATATGTGGTTCCTGCTCGTTGTGGATGTAGCAATTCTGTATCTGGGATCGCAAATGTGGTTACTGGATCTTCAGGTCGACAAATCTTTTGTCGGTAGTTCTTTCCAGGCTGAGTGACATAGGAGTTGTTCTGATTCGATGAGTGAGAAATAGCTGACTGAGAACGAACCCGAGGAGGAATTGATACATCTCGTGTGCTCTTTGATGATTTCCTTTTCAGCCATTCCGGGTAAAGAGGAAAGGTAGGCACACAACCCAGGTTGTTGTCAGTTGGTTGGTCATCAGTAAGATCAAAGTCAGTTGGGCTGACATCAGGCCACCCCTTTCTTTGGTGGGACAAAGACGGGAAGTCAGAGAAATTGTTCTTTCTCCCTGCTATTTGCGGTCTAGCAGTGAGGACTGTATGGTTCCTATGACCATTCTTCGTGTAGCTGATACGGCGGTTCTGACAGAAATGACGGAGGTCAAAGATGTCATATCCAATGGAGCCACTATTTGCTTGATCTTGAAACTCTTGTTCCCAAAACTGTTTTACAAAATCGTCATGGCCCTTGGCTGATATGAAATCATTGGTTGGTGTCATGGAATTGCCGGGTACAGGACCCTGGCATGAATTAAATGTATGCGGTGAATTCCGGCCTTTCGATGCAAAATGAAGACTATGCTCCTTCAGCCTCTTAGGAATCATGTGGTAACAACCACAGAAACATGTCGAATCTGTGAAGGAATCATGTGCTCGGAGCGTAACTGGATGCGCACACCTGCACTCGGATCGGGCATAGTATCCCGATGTCTGCGCATCGTGTCGTTGAAGAACTGGAGAGAGACAACCCTTCATCCAAGTAATCAAGCGGTTAAAACCACTCTGGCGTCCTTGGCATGGTAGGAAATTTTCCAGCGGCCAACAGTTCTGCAATGTACCAAAATTATCAACATGCAGGCCTTGAGAAGAAACCCGGTAGACATTGCCAGTGGAAGTGCTAGGAGGCGATTGCTTGGGAATAAACCATTCTGGATAGACTTCATCAAATAATTGGTCACTTGTATGACCCTCGCCACTTGTGGAAGAGAAATGAGTGTACATCCAGGGTTCATAAGGATCTTCATGATCCAACAATGACTCCGTAGAGCTGACAAAAGTCTGCGGGCTCAAAGAAGGCTGAGGTTGGAATGTTTGGTCATCTGGTTTTCGAGTTGGTGAAGATTGAACGGATTCACATAAACCAAAACGACCGATCATCCATGGCTCATGGAGTTCGTCCACTTCGGATACCAGACCGTATCCTGCACATAGCTCGGAAGATTCGAAGAGTTGGGCCCAGGGCTCAAAAGTCTCTGGCATTGGTCGATATGTAGGGTCCCAGGTAGTCTTCGGAATCCTTGGCTGATCATTCATCAAGAATGAATCTGCTGGACGTGCATTCAATGGGCGCTGGCATCCAAATCGAAGTTTGCCGCCCTCATACCAGAACATGATAATGCTCGAACATGCTGAATGAAATAAAGGCATCAGATGTCGATCAACCTTCAGCTTAATCGTGATCCCATCATCGTCAGTAGCGGTCAGAACAGTAAAATGTAAGGTCCGCTGCAAAACTTGGGTTGGGGTGACGCGAAAATGTCCGGCTTGTCTCCATAGCGTATTGCCAGCAAAAGATGTCGTGACGGGCAGACAATCCCATGCCATGGCTCGATCGGTACCCCACTTCCGTGAGGTGACGGGATCGCCAGGTCCCCGTGGGGACGGTGGGCTCGAGCCTAAATCCTCTGGCCTTTCTACTAGGAACAAGAAGCTACTAGGGGCTCCTGGCCTTGCTATTAGGAGCAAGAACGCTACTAGGGGCTCTTGGCCTTACTACTAGGAACAAAAAGCTACTAGGGGCTCCTGGCCTTTCTACTAGGAACAAGAAGCTACTAG